AAATTCCATTAGACTTCAGCACAAGTGGGAGGTTACATTTTCTCCTTCGTTTTCTTGCTCCTCTTTGGACTTTTTTTCTGGGTTGCAACTCTCTTCCATGACCCCAGAGGTGACACATTTTCATGTAGCCTGGGAAACTACTATCTTAGAACTTTTCACATACAAGATGCCATTTAATTAAAGTTTCAGATTTTTTTTTTAGATATTTAAACATTAACACTAATAAAACCAGACAGTTCCAAAGCACTTAACAAAGACCCAGATGATGTTCCAAGCACCTTTTGTCTGAGAGTATTAATTAATTCTCCCACACCCCTATTATCATCTCCATTTTACAGATGAACTAAAACACAAAGTGATTAAGCAACTTGCTGAAGGCCACATGCCGTAAGTGGAGTAGGATTAAAATCTGATTCCAGATTTTTACCCACTAGATTGTTGACTAATTTTCAAGGTTTTATAGGTTAGCATACCTTGTTGAAATAGATGTCATTTTAAATATAGTTGAAAATAACAGGTAACCATTTCTCTCCACCAACTGCCTAAATATATTTAAAATTGCATCAAAGCTGATTTCTAACTTAATATGCTAAGGTAAATTATTTTACCTCTGTATTTATAATAAACATAAGATATGCAGAATTAGCATACTTGTGACAGAGAATTAATTTGATTTCTTTTCAGCAAATATGCTTACTAGGAGATTAAAACTGCAACTTAAAATATTGATAATGGTACCTCACTCTTTTCTATGTATCAGAGACTGTGCTATTAGGTTGAAGAGATCACAAATTCTTTGCTGATCTCTCGGCAGGAGTGGAGTCTATTTCTTTCCGTGCTCAACATGGATTGGCCTTCGTTACGTCAGGAGTAACATCCTGGGACTTCTGACTTGGTCATAGGCAGCCGTGCAGCTTCTGCTGAAGGATACTGCCTCATGCATTCTTGAACCCCAGCTTCCAGGCTGTAAGGGCCTAAGCTGCTACGTGTGCAAAGGCCCATGTGGAACAGTTTTGAGGCTTCTGGCTAGGGGCCCTCGCTGGATCCCCAGTCCACATCCAGCACTGACAGGCCAGCCGCGAAGGTGGGCTCCTTTGGGAAGATGTCTTTCAGCCCCACGGGATGGCAGGAGCTGTAAGAGTCTATTCTGCTGAGCTCTGCCACGTAATTTATTTATTGGCAAATGGCATAATGACTGCATTTACTTCAAGCATAAAATCTGGGAGGAGGAGGAGTTATGCAGCAACAAATGACCAGAACATGTTTTAAAGCCTTCACAAATCTTCACAAATCTAAGTTCTGTCCTTCTAGGTCATCTGCCATTGGGAATTACAGTTCATAGGCTTGTGATTTCAGTTACAAATGAAGGACTTGGTAAGTCCATTACTCAATGGAAAGTACTTACTCAACAATGGGTAAGTACTATTTGCTGGGCATTTGGCACGGTGGTTAAGATACTCACGTTCCATATTGGAGTGCCAGTGTTCTGCTTCGAATCCAGCTTCCCGCTAATGTGTACCCTGGGAGGCAGCAGGTGATAGCTCAAGTAGCTGGGTCCTCAGCATCCACATTGGAAACCTGGATTCTGAGTTTCCGGCTTTGGTCTAGACCAGCGCAGGACCAGCGCAGCACCAGCTATGGGGTGGGGGTGGGGCACCTGGAGAATGAGCCAGTGAATGGAAGCCCTCTCAAATGAAATGAAAATAAATTCAGAAGCATTTTTAAATGCTTTTAAAATAAACTTCCTTATAATGAAAAAGCAGCTGGTGGTAACATTTTCACAGAAATGGTTCTGATGGTGTTAACATGAGATACATACATTACGGGGTGGATGTGTGCCAAAAAATGTCAAAATGGCCTTTCTGAAGGAAACTGTGTAACATCACAGTGGTAAACTATGTGTGCATACATGATTTATATTTACATGTCAGTATATATAACATGTTGGGTATGACAGATTTCTTTGAAATCTAGAAAACTGATTAAACCACTATGCTAACTTCATTTTAAAAGAATACTTCTACTTCTAATATCTGATCTTCTAATATCTACTTCTAATATTCTGTGAATTTTACTTTGCTACTTTCTATTATCTTAAATGTTGCGTACCTTAGCAAACAAATACAATCAGGCAACTTCCAACCTGTGACAGTATCAGCATGTATCAAAATGAAAGTAAAAGAATTCAGAACCACAAGTGCTATGTACATTAAAAAAAATCTTATTATCTTAGAAAAGGCAAACAAAAAAGGAAAAAAAAATTCTCCTTTGGGTTGAACAGAAATACTGAAAATTAAGGGCACCTAAAAAATGACAGTGGTAACACTAATGCATCTAGGTGATTTAGCTAATCAGTGCTCAGAATCTAGTCCATAGCTTAAAGCTCACATTAATAATTAAGAAGAAATAAAATGAGTGAAGTGCTCTTTGAGTTAGCACTTATTTATCTTAATTCAGAAGAGGGAAGAAACATAAACACACAATAAGGAGAAACAGCCAGATCCACAGAAGAGAAAACTGCCCAAATCTAGGCAAGTTCAGTTCAGAAACTTCAGTGAAATGGCTGGTTCCTGATACCAGATGAAACATAAAAGCTACATGGACCAATTACAACAGAAAATACCAACAAAGTTATTAAAGAGCTACTTGCCAAAAACTACTCTTGACTCAGAAAATGTCACAAGAATATTAAAGAACTGAAATTCCAAAGCTATTCAAACTATTCCAGAGCATGGGAACAAAGTTTCTAAAGCCTCTAGCATAAAATACAGATCTTCTGAAAGATAAAATACACACACATGCGCGCGCACACACACACACACAATCTGCAGATAATCTCACTCACAAATATAGATATCCTAAATAAAATATGAAACACAATCTAGCAACATTTTAAAAAAATACACATGACCATCTACAGTTTATTTCAGGAATGCAAAGGATGGTTCAAAATTACAAAATATATTAATGAAATTCATGTTAAGGGATCAGAGAAGTATCATTTGGGCATCTCCACAGATGTTGAAAAGGCATGTAATAAAACATGCATTCTTAAACATTTTTTTTTTAAAAAAGCAATCAATGGATCTCCTTAATATGAGCAAATGTTATCCACCTCAACCCAGTTCATCATAGCCAAAGCTATTTAACATTATTCTGTAAGTACCGGAAAATGCAATTATACAACAGAAAGAGGTAGGCACGCTGAAGCAAAGGTTACACTATTAATGTCTGCAGGCAACATGACTACAGATCTGGAAAACACAAAATAACTGAAATGCTGTTACAAACTAAGAAAATGGAGTCAGGTGGCTGGCTGGGTGGAAAATTAACATTTATAAGCTGTTAGCCTTTGTACATAGTTAAATCAGACTATAAAGGACTTCATTAATAATGGTCACAAAAATGATGAAATTTGCAAGAAAATACTGTTTAAAAATATATGGGATCTCTTTTAAATTTAATACATATTAAGGAAACAAGAAAAAGGACTTAAACAGGCACCAATTTTAGGAAGGGTACCATGGTTTATATAAAAACCTTTACTACAACGATGGTGTCCAATCTCTCCAAGTTAACCTATCAAGTTAAAACTGGCCAGAGCAAAGAACCCATGAATTCTAGAGTTCAAATGGAAAAATAAACAAGAATATTTGAAAGAGTTTAAAAAGTGTAGGGCTGGGGCTGGCACTGTGGCAGAGCAGGTAAAGCCACCCCCGTGATGCTGGCATCCCCTATGGGTGCTGGTTCCTGGCCCTGCTGCTCCACTTCCAATCCAGCTCCCAGCTAATATCCTGGGAAAAACAGTGGAAGATGACCCAAATATCTGGAACCCTGCACCCTCATGGAAGACCCAGATGAAGTTGTTGGCTCCTGGCTTCAGTCTGGCTCAGACCTGACTACTGCAGCCATCTGGGGAGTGAATTAGCAGATGGAAGATCTCTCTGTAACTCTCAATTTCAAATAAACCAGTCCAACTGGTACAAAAAGAGAAAGATCCACTTAAGAGTCTAGAAACACACACAAATAATATGGATTTTTACTGTGTGATAATAGTTGCATTGCATTTATTATTTTTTTAAGATTTATTGAGAGGCAGAGTTACAGAGAGAGACAGAGAAGTGGAGCAGCCAGGACGCAAGCCAGCATCCATATGGGATACTGGTGCCGCAGGCGGAGGCTTAACCTACTATGCCGCAGAGCCAGCCCTGTTCCATTTCAAATTAGTTAAAAAAGAATGTATGTTTAACAAATAGCTTTGGGAAAACTAGGAAATCTCCTGGGAAAAAAATGCAAGCTTTAGATTCAGGGTAGATCAGTTATGTAAATGAACATATTCAACTTTGCTTTTTAATATTCACACTCTAGTATTTTCCCTTTGAGAAAAGGAGATGAACGCACAGTGTAATTTGCCTTGCCATGTATGGCATGTACATGCATATGCACACATTTACATACTGTATGATGATGTTTCTGGAGGGAGAGATAAGAATCTGGTATTGGTATGTGCCTCTCTGAAAGGGAACTCAAAGACAGGGGTCGGGGTAGCACATGGACTGCTTACTTCTAAATTAGGATGATGGATTAAGTTAAAAAATAAATCAAAACATAGGCCAGAAAATAAAAACAAACGCCCTATATCCCAATGTATACTACTAGTAGGGTATAAAAGAAGATTAATTTTGTAACACAAATTCTACCAGTATAGTATTCTATAGGGGTCTGAATATATGTGGAAACTGTATAAAAAGAAAACTGATTGTGTTACTGCATCTTACACGGTACATCAATTAAGGGCAGTTTTCTCCAAAGCCAAATGATTTCAAGACTTTCAGGGAGTTCTGTCCTGGAGTTCTATATATACTACTACTTTACTATAAAGCAATTAAGGAAGAACATCCCTCATCCCAATTTTCTTCTACACATATTGCATATTTTATGGACTGAATTTATATGCACCAAATAAAAATAAAAAAAACAACTTTGATTTAAAAAGTACCTCAAGGCAATAAAAAAAATTATTTTAATTTTTGATACATATTAAAACATTTTAGTCAGTTCTTTCTGACAGCATAACAAGACAAATACACAAGACCTCAAACATGCTTTAAAATGACATTCAGCAAAGTACTTAAATTTAATAAATAGCAATAATCACACACAAATACATTTTTCATACTCAATTATTAAGCTACTAAAACAGACAGCTAAAGAATAAATAAACAGGAACTGACAATAAAAAAAATATACAGGATTCTGCAATTCACTTTACTAAAAAAATGGGGGGCGATCTGAATGACTCGTCTGCTTTTCTTCAAGACTGTAGCTTAATCCCCCCATGAATAAAATATACTGGAAAAAAATCACTCTTACAATAATGCAGTTTTTAAATACAACAAATAAATATGAAACCAGCAAAGCAATTTCAAGTTGTCATAAAAATGCCCCCCCCAAAGCTATGGAAATATATAGTTACTGTGGTAGCAAATAATAATATTTAAAGTGATAGTGCTTGTGCACTAAACTCATCTGAGACCTTGATATGATTTTAGTGCAAATCCCTAGGGTCCAATACAAGCATAACCCTATATTAGGGAAAGACATTACCAGTTGGAACTTGTCATGTACAATTTTTGTACATATTTTATAAAGTTCAAGATTTAATGCATAGTAGAGTATCTTCATTCTCTCGATCCTGTCCCTAAATACAGATGAAAAAAATTAAACGTGTAGGGATTTTACCATTTGGTTTGTACCATATTTGAGTATTAAAGTCAACATTAGAAAATCTATAAAAGAGTTTTGTTTTTGCCATTAATTTATCTAACTCTACCTAAATTTCACATCACTGCATGTTAAACATAAGAAAAAAATTTTGAGAAACTTTTTTTCCTGTTGACAAGTTCATATTATGATGAAATCCAGTAAGAGTCAAATGTTAGACAAATAAGAACACAGGTGAGTATAAGGGCTTGCTTTTTTTTGTACATTAACAACCTTAACATCTAGCATAAGTTATAAGGTGTGTTGGCAAAAGCATAAAAGATTCAATTAAAATAAGGTACTATTTCGTACAAACAAACCTTTTAACATAGGATAGATAAAATGACAGTCAAATAAATGTTTCAGCAGCCACATTTCTACAGTGAACTACAGTACCAGGATAAAAACAAGGAGAAACCAATGGAAGAACATTATCAAACAAAATGAATACATAAACATGTAGCTGCTAAAAACAGGAAACTCTAAATTCTGAGTTATGAGTTATTTAATTTAACCATGCAGGCTAACATATAATAAGAAATCACCCTGCATCTTTTTGTTTCTTTTTAAACTAAAACTAGTTCAATTGTAAAGTTACAAAACAATGAACGGATATTGCTCCAACTTACAATCTCCCTTACCAGATTCGTACCTAACAAAGTAACAAAGCCTCATCATCACTCGTTTCATTCTTCAGTGTTGCTTCTAAGCAAGTATCTGGAATCTGAGCAGTGTGGACGATGCCACAGCGCTCACAGGGGCCATCTCGACTGCTCGGTCTTACGCCAGGGTTTGTTGCACTGTATGGTTGTCTAAGCCCTTGTCCTTGATCGGAGGCAAGATCAAGAAGAGGTCTGGAGCAGTCATTCACGTCAGCATCTGAAGCTCCATCAGAAACTGGAATTAGCATTTCGACATCGTCATCTTCGTCTCTACCATTTACCCCATTATCAAGTTGTCTCAAGGGACTCTGATTCTGACTTACGGAACTTGATCGCCCTAATGTAAAACGAACCCAACGTAGCCCCTGAGTCATACGACTTAGCGCACTTGTAAGCTGGTGCCGTGCCGGACTCACACTTGGGGGTTCCACACTTGCCACATCTCTTCCACTATCCGTATGACCACCTCGAGCACTCTGAGTTGAGGAACTTCCACATGCTCCCACTGTTGCTTCTACTGCTGTTGTGGGAGGCACTTTTTGGGGTAAAGGAGCTGCAACCCCACCAGACGCTCCCACTGCATCTCTTCTCTCGTTCTCTGCATCAGTGTCGTCAGACTCCACAGAAAACAAACTTCTGTGAGTATGATTTCTCTCAGGTTCTCTGCTGGTACTCTGATTAGGAACCACCTCATCTCCATCTGCTGAGACCAAAGCCAATGACCCTGAATGACGTGATCTTGCAAAATTAAAAATACGATTCCAAATGTTGCTAGATCTGCCTGCCATAGGAAGCCTGATTGAAGTGAATCCAAGCTGAGATCGCACAGCTAGCCTCAGGTTTTCCAAAACAGATGCCTGCAAAAGAAAGAAAATCTCCTAAGTTTTCTAACAAAGCATTAAGTAAAAAACACCTTTCTAATAGGAATGTGTTGTAGCTGAAAACTGTTTTTTTATTTGACAGTTAAGAGTTAGACAGTGAGAGAGAGAGACAGAGAGAAAGGTCTTCCTTCTCTTGGTTCATCCCCCAAATGGCCACTATGGCTGGAGCTACACCGATCCGGAGCCAGATGCTTCCTCCTGGTCTCCCATGCGGGTGCAGGGATCCAAGCACCTGGACCATCCTTCACTGCCTTCCCGGGCCACAGCAGAGAGCTGGACTGGAAGAAGAGCAGCTGGGACTAGAACCCGGTGCCCATGTGGGATGCCGGCACCTCAGGCAGAGGATTAACCAAGTGAGCCATGGTACCGGCCCCAATATTAGTGTCTATGGAAGATGAATTAAATTCTTTCATCTATAAAGGTTCAACCCACCAAAGAATTTAATCTATAACTTGAAACACTGCTTATTATGTTTGATTTTCTTGACAATTCTTTCATATATGCCACTTAAAAATGATATTTACCATCAATTTTAAGTTACTTTGTTTTAAAGCCTCACATAATAACCCAATCCTAAAAGTATACCAAAGCTACAAAATACAATTATATGAAGGAAAGGAAATTATATGAAGGAAGGAAAAAGATTCTCCACTGTACGTCAGTAAGTGACCAAACCTGTGAATAACAGATCCAAAGCTGTTTTTTTTTTTTCAAGCACAGAATAAATTAGCTTTGATTTACAAAGCAGAAACTTTTGAAAATATGTGAAAACTGTATGTCCCAGCATTGGTTTTCAGTGATTCGTTTACTGAATGGATACCAAGGAGTTAATTTTATAGTCGCAAATAAAGAATTCAATACACTTCTAATATAGCACAGCAAACAAAAAATAAAGCTAAAGAAATGAACTTGCTTATACCACTGCAAAGTCATATCTACCCATCTGGATTCCTTCTTTTTTTTTTTTTGACAGGCAGAGTGGACAGTGAGAGAGACAGAGAGAAAGGTCTTCCTTTGCTGTTGGTTCACGCTCCAATGGCCGCCGCCGCTGACGCACGCGCTGATCCGAAGCCAGGAGCCAGGTGCCTCTCCTGGTCTCCCATGTGGGTGCAGGGCCCAAAGACTTTTCCATCCTCCACTGCATTCCTGGGCCACAGCAGAGAGCTGGACTGGAAGAGGGGCAACTGGGACAGAATCTGGCACCCTGACAGGGACTAGAACCCGGGGTGCTGGCGCCGCAGGTGGAGGATTAGCCTATTGAGCCGTGGTGCTGGCTTAGATTCCTTCTTAATATTTACAGATTTTTATTTTCTATAGTTTAGCATTAAGCAGAAATCTATCTCACTATTTTTGGAAAACCTGTGATTTTTAATTAGTGCCTATGTAAGCTATCTGTATTGCCCAATGGAAAGAACAATATTCTCAAGGTGAGTTTATAGATATTTTAAGATGTACATTTGTATAAACTGGTCTTGAGGCTCCATCTAGTGGTTATAAAATGAGTATTCAAACTTGGAACAAATATAGCTTTCATGAACCTGGCATGTAGTATTTAAAATACAGTACATCTGGGAAACAATGACGAGTCAACAGATCATTGTTAACAGCTTCTGTCTACCAAACCTCATGTCCCTTGCTTTTCTTCTCACAGAAAATAGGTTCGAGAAGCAGCGAGATGTTACAGCTTACGTGCCCTCTGTGACTTAGATCACATGTATTTGTGATATCCACACAGGTCTTTCAAATGCCAGGGACACAATTCATGGAAAGGAAAGAAGCTGCTGTCAGAAATGTTTCATAGTCTAGTAAAGTACAGACAGCAAGAAACCTGGTTATCAGCACATACTGATTTGCTATACAAGTGAGTAGAATTTTTCAGCAATTAAGTCCTTAGCTATGAATTAACACACCCGGGAAACAGGTTCACCTCATTAGTGCCCTCTCCACAGCTCTGGTTCTCTACACTTAGCTTCGCGTCGTCAGGCTTTGTGTGAGCACTGTTACTGCACACAGCCAGAACACAGGGCACCACAGTCTTCTGTGGTAGGCAACTGCTGCTTCTCAAGGTCAACAAAGCCTTCCTTCCGCACAGTGTCCTGTGAAGGTGAAGCTCTGTGCTTAAAGTGTCTAATTCAAAGACTACCAAACTAACAGTAGGTTCCATAAGGGGAATCTCACATCTCTCAAGAATGATTTATACTTCTTCACTTCGTGAAGCTGAAAACATTTCTATTTTAAATAAGATGACAGATTACAAGATTATTTTTCTTCTTAAGAATTGCTATGGAAATTTGATAATTTGTTACCAAAAATTTCAAACTTGAGAGTTTGATTTCATTAAATGAATAAAAACTAGTTCACCACTCATATTTTATTAAAATGTTGAAGCAGAATTTTCTTACAAAAATTTTCTACAGAGTGGGGAAGGAAGCAGTAAAAGGTTTAACTCTGGTCAAGGTCTTCATCCTTGGCTTTTGGGACATGATGTCTGAGGCCCTGAAATGCCACACCTGATAGGAATGTCTGCCTGTGGACCTCGGGCCAGCCAGACAGCAACACTGATTTGGGGTAAAGGCTTTGAGCCACACCAGTAACCTGACATAGGGTGAGGGCTCTGGGTCACATAGTATCAATCTCTAGAGGGGTTAGAGGCCAGGAGCAGGTACATGTGCAGTTAAATCACCGTGCTGGAGCCCCAGTAAAATCTTGGGGACTTGAGTGAGTGTCCCTGCTTTGTAATATTCCACACATATGGCTACACATCTGTGTCAACAGAAGAACACGCTCTTGTCTCTATGGGGAAAGGAGAGCCGAGAAGTCTATGCTTAGGTCCTTCCTGAACTCTGTGCTACACATCTTTACCCTTGGCTAATTTTAATCTGTATTATGTCCCAGTAATAAACTGTAACCATGAGTAAACAACTTTCAGGGAGTTCTTTGAGTCCATTTCTTGAGTTATCAGACCTGAAGGTGGTTTGGGGAACTCACCAAACCCGCAAGCAGGGTCAAGAGTGAGGGCAGTGTGTGCCTTTGCTTTTATCTTCAGAGGGGCTAGGGCTGGCAGATGGCAGTGCGTGAATGGAATTATCCATATATACAGGCACATATTTCCTTTAAGTAGTGAAATACAAACCATAAACTGCAACTTACCTGATTAGGCGAACAAACAGGAAAATCTTCAACTGGTGGAATTAAACCCTGAGCAATCAATTGTCCATAAGAAGGAGGAGCTTCTCTTCTCAACAATTCTGCTTCCACTCTTGACAACTGTGTTTCAAATGATCTTTAAAAATACACAAGAGGGTAAAAAGAGTTAAAAAAAAAGGCAAGTCAAAACAGTAATTTTCCATTACCAGTAATTATAAAACAATCTGAATCTCAGTATATTTGATTTTTCAACCAGCATTTATGGCAAAGATGTGCTATGCCTCACTGGGAACACACATATGAAGCTGACCATCTGCTCGTGGGGGGCTTTACACTAGCAGGAGTTTGCATCAAAGTTTTAATAAACTAGAAAACCTCTATAAAAACTAAAGGGAGAAAAGAAAATGCTAGATTTTTAAACCCCAAAGGAAATGGGTGGCAGGTGACCCCCAGATGTAAGGTGACGGAATTTCAGCGTTCTCAGAAGACACTTCGTCCATCAAGCCCCACGCTTCCTTTCAGGGAAGAGTGACCTGAGTCACCAATACACTCCCTGGAACAGGTGGAGCCTGAACTGAAGACCTCAGACTCCTTATTGTGCTCTTCTGTTGCAGTGTCATGGAAAGTTCTCCAGGTGTTTATACTTGGCAAAGAAATGACATGGTAGCGGCTGTTACAATGCTGTGTGACTGAGTGCCATCTAGTATCTCAACTGTCTGTTATGTAAAGCTTTTTAAAAATTAATTTGTAACGCTCTTGGGACTGAAGGTAACCGTCTCCACAACAGCCTCCTAGGGGACCTCCCTGCCCTTATCCTCTACCAGGTCCAGTTTACCTTGTACACAAAGGACACTACTCTCCTTGAAGTCACTCTTTAAGGATTAACCATTTCGTACTCAACTGAGAATTCAGGAACGTGGCTCTCGCTGAACTATGCAATCTGACAAGAGGATGCTAGCCTTGCATTCCAGTCTTATCTCCTATTAATCCTTCATATGGATCCTGGGCTCCAGAACAAGTGCACTATGTGCAGTGCTGGGCATTCCTACTTCTTTATATTTCTCCAGGCTATCTTTAAAAAAAATTACCTACATTCTACTAATACGTTTCAAAGGCAATTTTCCAACTAAAGCCTTTGCACATCCCCCCTTTCAGATTAGGTGTTTCTGATTTTTTATCACTTTGTTTTCAGCTTGTACAGTATTTGCATTTTGCCATCCTATTTCATGCACCAGGTCATTCTTCCTATCTGTAAACTACTTGTGAGTTACGCTTTATTCTTTCTTCTATTAACCTATGTAGTGTTTTGAACATAGTAGTTCCTCAGATATCTGGAACTGAATATTTATCAAGACAGGTTAAAAATTACAACTGAGATTTGTAACTTGCTAAATTCCTATAAAACAGATTACTCTGAAAACAAGTACAGGCCAGTAAAAGATTGGCTTTACTTACCCCACACTGAGATAAGTATTTATTAGTTTGTGATTGTTTATTCCTTTCAATTTGGGCTTTTCACACCAATTTTATAAATCATAAATAAGTAGCATTTGTTCATTTTTACACTAATATATAACAAAAACATATTACTAATCAAAGTACTTGTGGTAATGTTTTTACTGCAGACACCATAATCACTATAGTTGTGTCTGGATACTGACCTTCGTTCAAACATTCTCAGAGAATAAAGCTTACAAGTACATCCCAAAGCAATGACGAGTAACAGGCCACAGATCAGGCTCCCTATGACAGCTGCAGTTATGACTCTGGTGGGCACAATTACTGGGCAGTTTTCCTCATCACTGCCATCGCCACAGTCATCCTGAGAATCACACACCCAGCTTTCAAATACACAACGATTGTTTTTACAATGAAAATTTCCTGGCTGGCAAAAAAAGCAGTTTTTTTCATCTGAGCCATTTGGGCAATGATTTTGGTAGTTGCAGCGATCAGAACGGGGATAACAGACACCATTTCGGGAACATGGAAATTCTTCTTTTTGGCACATGGTACAGTTGATTTCATCTCTTCCGTTTGGGCAATGCCAGTACCCATCACATCGTTGCTGCTCAGTATAACACCCCCAGTTCCCTCCACAGGGTATTTCCCATGGCAAACAGAAGCCATCTACTTGATAAGTAGCATTAAATCCTCTTGCAGCATTCACTTTATCAGCACAAAAATGTACCCTTATCTGTCCAGAAGAAGAAACAACTGTAAGAGGTGCATGAGAATCAAAGGCAGTTAACACCCGCAAAAGCTTGTGTGGATTTTCCTCTAACCCATCGTATATTTTGACGTAATCGCCATAACCAGTACCATCAAGTTTAAAGTCAGTGAAGCGTAAAATGACTTTACGATGATCACCAGTATCTATTAACCAGGTGCAATTACTTCCAGGAGGATAAAAGTCTGGATAATTGGGAGAATTAAAAGTTCCATAAAAATACTTTAACCACTGTCCACAAGTTGGCACATCACAGTCTATTTCATCTCCTAGGTCAAGGCAGTCAATGTTCCCATCACATTTTAAAGACTCGGGGAGGCAGGTGTAAACTTTGGTAAAGCGGGAGAGACACTGGAATTGGTTGTAAGCGCAGGGTTGAAAAGAAGCAGCTGTTGGAGGATTAGCTTCTTTGGCACAGATCTCTTCATCGGAGCTGTCTCCACATTCATCCATGTTATTACACTTCCAGGCTTCTGGAATACACTTTCCATTACCACAACGAAACTGATCACAAGCACAGTTCGGTTCCTCAGATTTCCCTGGGAGGATGTAGATAGAAGGAAGATGGAGAGAGGAGGAGAAAAAAACACACTCTTCAAAAGATATGTAACAGCAACTGGTATTTTTATAATAAATGGTAATTAAGTCCAAGTGATAGTGATTTTAAAAAATACTTTTAAAAGACAGGTAAATGTTCTAGTGACAAATTAAAATTGGTATAATTACTTAAAAATTTAATTTATTAAATAGTGTCTATCATTTTTTCCCTGAGGGTCTTTGTATTTTGATCTAAAGAGAGAAGGGACCAACTCTGGTTTTGCAGAGAACTATTTTGCTGCAGAAGGCTAAGTAATATGATGTAAGGTATACGAGCCAATAGGATATATTAAGACTTTTAAATATATTCCTCTTGAATTCTTGTCTGTATTCATTTATATTAGGGCACTTCAAAAAGTGGAAATGGACCAAAAGGTAAGTTTATTTTGGTATCAAAAAAGTTAGAAAGCTACAGTCTTCAAAAAGTCCACAGACTATGTATATTATGAAGAAAACTATGTATGGATTTCAACTTTTTTTGCACCAAAACAAACTCATATGACACAATATTTTGCTATGTACATTATAGTGTACTTTACAAGCTCTTTATTTATGCAAACTTTCGCTAAGATTAACAGTGTAAGTTTCCATTCCATGTAATCATAGCAGAATACTTCCACTGTGTAACTGCTCTTCTTTTAATACAACTGCAACGTATTGCATGAATCTTAGCTAAAGGAATAAATCTGCTCATCAAAATAAGAAGAGATGGGGACAGATAAATTTCACTTGCCTATAGGACTCTAATTATCTTAGTGTACCACTGTAAATCTGTAACAATAATGAGGCAAGAAAAGACAACCACAATACTTTAAATTCCTGTAGTACTCCAATGGACAATTTTTGGCCAATACTTACTTTTCCACTAACAACTTAGTGGCAATCATGTGGCTAAAATAGATAAAAAGCAGCATATGCTTGCTAAAGGAGACCACGTTATTTCAGAAGATAAATTATTTTCAGCAAAGAATACACATAACTCTAATGCTCAATATGACTCACACTCGCATGATCTGGTCACTCTTTGTGAACACAGTTTGAGAAAAGTGAAAGAAGAGTTCCTCTGAGACTATAAAGGGGAAATGTGTTATGGCTTTTCATTGAAGGTAGTAAAACAGTAACACACACAAATATATTCTGAAGCAACTTTCAGAATATGGAGAAATACTGGAGGGAGAAAGAGCCATTTTTAAAATTAATGTATTTGAGAAGCTTAAAAGGAAAACTGACTTTAGTTTATGACATTATTCATTTTATTGGGATTACACAAAACACCTTTGCAACTCTAAGGCACCTGACTCTAGCTTCCAATCCTCAGTCCCTGCTATTTGAAGGGTCTAGTCGTAACTAACTGGGTGTTGTTTAGATCAGCCCTGAAGTGACTGAGCAGTTAGAGTACAGAATTTGGTTCAGTATCTTTCATTTTGTTACAACACACCTGAAAAATATGCCAGTCTGAAACCTTTTCTGGAGATGCTGTCATCCGAATGGAACCTGATCCAGACGTGGTCTTGTGAAGAGATATATGGAGGGGGAATTGTGGAACCACAAGCTCTGTAGCTTTCAATATTCTTATATGTTTCTATTGTCAGCCAGTCCAAACTGCATCTTCTAGACCCTTGAATATCGAAATCCTGAAAACTACACATACACAAAAAGTTAGAAAAGACTATTTAAAAAGGTAATTTTGGAAAAATAATTAACAGTATAATGTAACTGAGGACATTATTGTAAATCTCCATACATTTACTGATTCTCCTAGGCTTTCTAGGCATTTGACTGTATCATCAACAAATAACAATGTTGCTTCTATGTTCCTTAATAATGCTCTTTTTCTCAGATTATAGAACAAAACTTCTTTATAAATAATAAAAAATTCCAAAATAATGCTAAAAAAATGGTGATAGTTGCCATTGTTTTTTCTTCTGTGTATGTATGTGCTTAGGAAAACCCACTAGTATTTTAGAATACCCAAAACTATTCTGTGTTTGAATTAGAAACACCACTCCATAATAATGAACAGAGGTACAAAGACTTTTCTTAGATCAGCTAATTTGCTTGCTTAATGAAAAGTTTATCACTGACCTTTTCTGCAGGGCAAATAGCACATTCTGAGTAAAGTAACAAAATAAAAAATTAACAAACAAAAGAACATTTTCATTGAAAATCTCTTGGTTGGAGTACTCTAATAAATAATTTTTGTTGCCAAACATTATTTTATAGTTCATAAAAATAAGGGCGTGAGTAAAGGGCAAAAAAATGTCAATTAAGAGTACATATCAAATTTGCTAACGTTTATGAAAGAGAAACCAAAATATCATTTTTCAGTATCTGAACATGTCCCATCAAAAGTTGAAAATCTGACTTTATATTCTTCCCTCTGCCTTAACCTAAGTAATAATGAGGTTAATTATCCAAAGATGGTCATATCAGGCTATTTCTTTAAATATTCTGAAGAACTATAACAAAGGTGGATAGAAGATTTCATTATTTATAATTTTCTTTATTATAAACAATGCTTTAAAGAATCTATACATATGTATCTTTCCTATGGCATGACCAAGTATTTCTCCAAGACAAACTTTTCTAAAAATAGTACTCCAGGGTTAAAGACACACGATTCTGTTTTCAAAAACCTGATACAGAATGACAGAAAATGTTCATACTAATTTTCATCCAAGTATACATTAGACTATGTATATCCAACACCTCTAGCAAAATTCAATACTGTTTTTTCAAAAATTTGTTGTCAATGAGGTGAACAAAAAAGATTTAACGTATTACTAAGACTGAAATACTTTCCCTATGTTTATTGGCTATTGTTATTTCATTACTTGTAAATAAACTAGTTATAACCTTCATCCTTAATTATTTTAAGAACTCTTTATATATATTCTTATATTTATTTTATTTATGTATTTATTTATTTTTTTGACAGGCAGAGTTAGTGAGAGAGAGAGAGACAGAGAGAAAGGTCTTCCTTTTTCCGTTGGTTCACCCCCAAATGGCTGCTACGGCTAGCGCGCTGCACCAATCTGAAGCCAGGAGCCAGGTGCTTCCTCCTGGTCTCCTGTGTGGGTGCAGGGCCCAAGCAAATGGGCCACCCTCCACTGCCTTCCCGGGCCACAGCAGAGAGCTGGACTGGAAGAAGAGCAACTGGGACAGAATCCGGCACCCCAACTGGGACTAGAACCCGGGGTGCCGGCGCTGCAGGTGGAGGATTAGCCTAGTGAGCCGCAGCGCCGGCTTAGAACTCTTTATATATTTATACACACACACGTATATGTGTATGATTTATTTATTTAAAAGACAGAGTTAGAGAGGCAGAGGCAGAGACACTCCCTAAAATGGCTGGTTCACTGTTCACTCCCTAAAATGGCTGCAAAGGCCGGAGCTGGGTCATTCTGAAGCCAGGGGCCAGAAGCTTCTTCTGGGTCTCCCATGTAGGTGCAGTGGCCCAAGGACTTGGACCATCTTCTACTGCTTTCCTAGGCCATAGCAGAGAACTGGATCAGAAATAGAGCAGCTGAGACGCAAACCAGCACCCAAATGGGATGCCAGTACTGCAAGTGGTGGCTTTACCCGCTATGCCACAGTGTCGGCCCCAAGAACTCTTTATATATCATAATCATGTGTATATGTGGGGATATTAACTGTTATTTAAGGCACTTAGAAGGAAAAGACAACAGTTTAAAAACAGTCCCTATCAGAACAACATGAAGTATGCAAAAATTTAAGCAAAAACAAATATCAACTTCATAGTGAAATGTGGTAGAAGAATGGTAAAATCATTGACACTTTATGAAAAGTTTATGAGGACAATACTCCAAAGAGATCAGCAGTTCATAAAAAGATAACTTGTAAGAAGGGAAGAGACAATGTTGAAGATGAAATCTACAGGGACAGCCCATTCACACCAATTCGCAAGAAAAAAAATCCATCTTGTTCACTTTCTAATTGAAGCCTGATGGCTTTTTCACCAAGATAGTGCTAGAAGCAAAGAAGGAATCCCCTGCCCCTCTCAAAGCTCATGCCACTCTTTACAGTTAGAAAATAGAATCCTAAAATTCATGTGGAATCACAAAAGACCCAGAATAGCCAAAGCAATCCTGAGCAAGAAAAACCAAGCTGAGGGCATCGCAATACCTGATTTCAAAGCACACTGCAAAGCTATAGCAATTAAAACAGCTTGGCACTAACATAAAAACCCAATAACAGTTCAATGGAACAGAACAGACAGCCCAGAAATTAATCTGCATATATACAGCCAACTGATTTTTGACAAAAGTGCTCAGACCATACAGTGGAGTAAGGATAATCTCTTTCGACAAATGCTGCTGGTAAAACTGGGTATTTATATGTAGAAGAATGAAATTAGATCAATATCTCTGACCATATACAAAAATCAACTCAATATGGATCAAAGACCTAATTAAGACCTGAGACTATGATGTTGTTGGAAGAAAACATGGCAGAAACACTCCCAGGCATTCTTGGTGTAGGTGATGATTTCTCAGATAAGACCGCCAAAGCACAGGCCACAAAATCAAAACTAAACAAATGGGCTTATATCAAACTTAGAAGCTTTTAAAAAGCAAAGGAAACTATCAATAGTGTGAACAGACATCCAACACAATGGGAAACAAATCTGCAAACTACCTATCTGACAAAGGATTAATTTCCCAAATATATCAGCAACTTAAAAAAACTCAACAACAAAAATCAACCAACCAGTCCACTTGAGAAATGGGCAAAGGACTTCAATAAACAGTTCTCAAAAGAAGAAATACAAATGGCCACCAAATATATGACAAAATGTTCAACATTTTTTCAAGTAGCCATAAGGGAAATTTCAATGAGGTATCATCTAACCCCTGTCAGAATGGCTAAAATCCGAAACACTGAGAATAACAAATGCTGACAAGGATGTGGACAAAAGGGAACACTTATACACCAATTTATAATGTAAATCAGTGCAGCTACTGTGGAAAACATTATGGAAATTTCTTAAACTAGAAACAGACTTGCCATGTGATCCAGCAATCCCACTACTGGGTACATAACTAAAAGAATACAATGTATCAAAGAGATACCTGAACCACCAGGTTTGTAACAGCACTCTTCACAACATCCACAATTTGGAATGTACCAAGGTGTCCACCATCAGATGAATGGATAAAGAAAATGTGGTATATTACACGATGGAATACTCAGCTATAAAAAAGAATGAAATTCTATCATTTGTGGAAAATGAATGTTAACTGGAGGACATCCTGTTGAGTCAAACAAGCCAGACCCAGAAATGTATTTACCACATGTTTTCCCTTATATGTGAGAGCTAAAATTTTAAAAAGAAACAAAAAGAAAGAAGAAAGAAATGTCTGTGTGTATCAGTACTGCTGCAATATAGTTTTGTAAAACTGTTTTATACCTTGTCAAACCAGGAGCAATGTAAAGCTAGGTAGCAGGCCAATTAATAACAGCTTTACACAGTGATCTGCCATCAAGGAGATCCAAGAAGCCATTCCACCCCAAATGGCACTAGTTTTCGATGTGGAAAGCCAGGGCTTCGGACAGACAGCAGTCAAGATAGAAATCAGCCTCTGAAGGTCCTGTGCTCTGCCAGGCGAGAGCTGGGTCGCTGGAAACAAAACTGTCCTGGAGTCAAAGGACTCCCAGATCTGATCTGCAGACCTTGTTGACTCTAAGTTGAAAAGCCCTTCACTTTGCCCAGTTTCCAAAGTAATCAGAACTACTGAGTGGACAGCCAAGTAGGGCCAGTAACACTGCAGGCAGGACTGTAAATTTCCTTTTAGAGATGCCACCTGCCTTCTGTTCAGGCCAGCTCTCCTCCCAGGTCAGCTAGGTAATGGAAGTCAACAGGGTGCCCTCCCTTCCTTGTGAGGCCTCTTCCAGTACCTGGTGTGAGGAGATAGATAGGTCTGAGTCTCACACCTGGCCAGGCCTTAAAGCCCACCTGATTATTATCAAGCCCCTCTTGTCAGTTTCTATTTGCCTCTCAATGGGAAAACTTTCTCATGGCTTGGACAGCATCTTCTTTCGGTTCTCTGATAATGACTCTGTCCTTTGTTTTAGACCCTGTATTTAATCTCCAGACCTGAAACAGTGAAGTTCTAGATGGCACGCATACGACACCTTGGATGGAAGCCGTTTCTGCAAGCTGGCCCTGCGCCCCCCCCGAGAGCCAACCTCCTGCTGGATCCTTCTTGATTGGCTTTCCCTACTCTGCCCATACTCAGCCTGAAGAAGCTGGAGCGGTCACTGTCGCATACCCCTCCCAGAAGTCAGGGTTCATTATTCTGGGGGAGCAGTCAGATGGGTTAATAGGCAGTCAGGTCGGTCCCTGTGGAAACTGAGGGTGCAAAATGCTTGCCTCCCCTCAAAAGTTATCTTCAACAAAATTAAAGTGCTGAATTCCACTGTATGTTTCTCCTCAAAAGCTGCTTTTAGCTAAACAAAAATGCCTGTCCCACTCCTTGGGAGCTTCCAATCTTATCATGAGAACAGCAAAGGAGTGGTGAGTCCACCCTCCAGATGGCTCTTCTGTTTAATCACGAGCAAGCCAGACAGGGCGAATACTACAAATTGAGTCTGTGAGAGGTTTTGTCCCTGCCTTGTAA